GAAAGATAATTGGCTTTTTAAATGACAAATGTGTGAAAATGTACACTTTTGTCTGAATATAATGGAAGATGGCTTTGAATTTTGGTGGTAATGGTGGTGTGGGAAGGAGGTTTAAAAACAACTATGAGGAACATTGACGTCCTCTACGACAAGGTAGAGCTCCAGCGTCGGAAGTAATGGTTGCGACCAATGAGGAAGATTTAGCGGCGAGGCTAGAGGCACGGGCGTAGCTACCGGACGCGGCGGCTCCTGAAGAAGTGAAGTAAGCACCGTTTTGAAGCAAATCTCCTTCTGATCTCCAATTCCATCCTTTCCAATGACTCGCTGGTGTGTCCACTCTCTTCGTCACCTATACAAAACATTCGAACGTCAACAATCTCACAATCACAAAATCACTCTTTGGTTTTAACTGATTTTGATTGAGGTTATTACCTCTTTAGCAAAAGGGTTTTTCGGAGCTGCGTAGCGGTTTCCTTGACTGTTGATTGTCGGGTTTGCGCTTCCACCGATTGCGTACATTTCCCAGTGAGTGTAATCGTTGTTCACGACATGGAAGTATCCGTGTCGACACCTGCAAGAAAAGTTCATTGCGTTGGTCAGAAAACAGAGCACAAAAACAGAGTATGAGCAAGCTCTGTTTTTAACACTTCAAAAACAGAGCACGAAAACAGAGCATGGGGATACTCTGTTTTTAACACTTCAAGAAACAGAGCATATTTTGCTCTTGATTACGTCTTTTTATATATACCTCGGCATCCTCTGAATAAGTCCGACTCCAAAATGATTATAAGCAATGGTCACTTGCATAGCTTTATCCCTCATGTACGAATCACTATGTCCGAGCAACATGACCTGTTAAAAAAAGATCAAAATACATCATCAGAAACCGAAATCTAGCGAACTACCTGTACGTAATTGAAGCAACAAGTTTTAAAAAATCACCTCGTTGTGGTGGGTCATGTGGTTGTTAGAGATGGTAATCGCGGTCGAGCCCATGACTGCATCCACAAGCCCATCGGCGCAATGAGACAACGAGTTATGATCAATCCAAACATGGCTCGAACCAAAGATCGAAATCGCGTCACCATCGGCCATAGTCCTCCACCCGAAATGCGTCTGTGAGCTTCTCACCAAAGCGTTACCGGTCGGTCTACAATCATGAATATGCAATCCGTGAACGATCACGTTCGTCACAAACTGAATCGTGATGCAACCGCCGTTAGCGATGTGAACGTTTGCGCCGCGACCATCGATCGTTTTAAAGCTGTTAACGATCAGTTCTTGTTTTAATTGAATCACCATATCGCGTTTGAAAACGATCCATAGTGGTCGGTCTTGAATCACAGCGTGACGTAATGTCCCCGGTCTAGGATTAACCGGATTGTCATCATTTGGGTCAGTGACTACGTAGAAACGTCCATCCCGACCGCCGATCGCGTTTCTTCCAAATCCGATACCGCAATCCGCAAGGCGTTTGCGGTTCTTGTGCCAGTTGCGATCGCATCGCCAACAATCATCGATTGGGTTGCCTGTTCCGCAAGTAAAGTAACCTAGCTTCCTCCTCTCGGTATGGTTCCTCACACTCCTGTTAAATCATATTCGGTTTAGATTGGTTTTTTATTTTATTTTTCTCCCACGAAAATTAAAAGACATTATTCAAAAGAAAATTCAAAATCACATCAGAACATGTGCACATGGTTGATGATAAATACTTATATATTTTTAGACTTTTTTCATAGACGTGTGTCGGTAGGATTAGGTTCTCTAGCTAAGATTCTTGAAGCAAACGACGTTAAAAACAACCGTTAAATAAGGACAAACAAAAAACCACCGTTGGATAACGACGTTCAAGTCCGTCCGTTTTAACGGATACCGTTTTGGGATCTTATTGGTTTTTGACCGTATAAAGCGTTAATTGTTCTGTTACGACCACATGGGTACTGTCCAAAATGATTTAATAAAATGTTTAAAATATATATATATTTTTTTTTTGCTAACCTAAAAATGTTTAAAATATGC